TTGGATACAATAGTTTTTAGTGAAACAAATAAATATATATAAAAAGTTATCAAATAGTCAATTTAGTCCAAATAAGAGTAGCAATACATAAATGAGATACGAATGCTGTGATTTTTTAACTTCCCGTAGGGTAAGTTATTGTAATTGTCCAAAAATCGAAATTGAAAATTTTTACATTTCTTGACGGTTTGAAGGTTTCTGAACATTTTGGCATACTTAAAAAAAATGGATGTGTGTGTGTATGTATTTATAGATACAATATTTCGTCCACGTTTTCGGGCGCACGGATCAACCGATTTGAATGATTCAAAATCATTCGATTCCTATTGATAGGAAGATGTGCTGATTAGTTTTTGGCAAATGCAGGTCGAGGGGATTCAGAGATACAGAGCTAAATGTGCAAAAATTGACAGTTTTTGAGATAACAAAGCGTCCTTCATTTGAATGATTCAAAGAACTTTTTGCTTCTGCCTGTTTTAACAAAATAATTGCTTTTGGGGAAAAAAATTCAAAAAAAAATTTTTTTTGTATAAAGAAAATAATTCTGATTTTAATTGTAATTTTGACTTAAGTTCTAATATACTTTGAACAAATATTTTTGCAATTCAGTTCATATAATTCTTATAAATATTAACCAATATTACAGTATTTATTTATAATAATCTATTTAAAAACATTTAATATTCCTCGAACATTTCTTTACGGTATGGGAAGTTCCAGCAATTTGCCTTAAGGCACGATGCCATACACACCACTAGTTTTTTTTAAAAAATTCAGGAATATATTTTGTACAGGAAAAAAATCAGTTAATATTACTTATTGTCAAAATATTCAATTTACTGTTAAATACAAAAAGTAACTATTATAGAATAATTATATTAATTTTTTAACTTGCGTATCCATGTAAGAACTAATAATTTTTTTAATAGATTGTCCAATATTTTGTAGAAAGTTTAAGATCAAAGTTCAAAGTTCAATATCAATAAGTAAATACTGAAAATGAAAAATGAGAGAAAAGTTTGTTGCAAATTATTCAAAAAGCTAATTTTCGACTACCTCGTTTCAGTTTTTTTAGAACATTAAACAAATTCTACAAATTTGAATGTTAATTTAATAATATCGGTGTTTCTATTATAAATTTTATATTTCAACATATTTAATACTATGTCGAAAAGAGATTTTTATTTAAAAAAATTAAAAATATTTGAAAATATTACAGAAAATATATTCACTAACAGTAATTTAACTACGTGCATGTGACCCATTGATATAAGTGTTTAATATTAACAATTATTAATCAGTATTGAATATTTACAGAAACTATAAATATACATAAACTATGGCATAATAATTTACATAAACTATGGAATATGAATTAATTTTGTTAACCTCTGCCGATCAATCCAAGCTTTAATCAATTTTAAAAATTAAGCCAATTTTTGTTAACCTATAATATTTCAGAATATTCGTTAATGTCATAAACTTTACCACTTAAAAAACTTGCAAAAAAACGTGATAATACCAAAAACTACTAGGCATAACTTCCAGCTAATATTTTTTGGAATATTTTTAATTTTTTTAAATCGATTCAGAATTTTCTTTCAAAGCAAATTTGTTAACTGCTTATTATAAAGAAAAGGCCGGGGTGATCACCGCGAATTTTTATCGAGTTTCATCAGGTTTATGAATTTTTAAAATCGGTTTAGATATTTTTGGAGCAATTGCCACAAAAACTGATGAATACACACATAAATACACACTTATTTTTTAGAAACTTTTAAATCTTGGTGGAAAACGGTTCAGAAGTCTCAATGGAGTCATTGAGAAATCACAAAATTATTAAATCGGACTTATTGGAAGGAACAAATTCCTCTTTCTGAATGTCAATAAATAGTGTAAACGCTTGATATGTAATTTAATGATTTCAGGTAAAACTTCAATTGAAAATGTGAAACTTTAGTCTACTTCACATTAGTACGAGATTTTTCTTTGGCATATGATAATATCGTCTATTTATTACATCTGTTGCATTGGTTATAGAGCATTAATATTTAATCTAGATGTTCTTAATATATTTCCTGCAGTCTAGAAACTACGTTTCGTTTTATAATTATATCTTATTGCAATATCTGTCTGACTGTGGCTCGAGGGCTTTATTCAAATTAGTTCATCTTCCAATATTAATAAGGAAACAAGACAGACAGTGAAATATGCTTGCTATGAAGTTCTTGGGTTTCAAAAACAAAATATACATTGCAGGAAGACTGACTTGTGTAGACACACTGTTTATAGAAAATTAAATGGAAAATTTTAAGAATATATTTTAAAAGTGAAAAGTTTCTTTTAAATCATTCTCATATTGCCATGAAAATTTGGGAGCGTTTCATCACATAATTTTTTGAAAAGGTGCAAATATCACTTACATATACGACTAAGTCAAATTTTAAAATATTCTTCAAAGTAGTTGATAATACTCATTAACTGAAAAGTATTTTCATCCACAAAACTTTTAGTCCATTTTTAATTTAATTAATTCAACTAATGTTTAAACTTTAATTATTGTTATCTTTACTATATAAAATGAATTCTATAACAAATATGAAATTAAGATATTATGAATAAGTTATTATAAGAGTGATCATAAGTATCAGTATCATCTCATTTTGTCTTAATTATTATGTAATATATGGCAGAACAATTGTAAAGATAAATGTAAGAATTAGTATACTTTACTTCAGACTTCTTACAAGAAAATTGCGTATTCTTATAGATGGTTTTAGGTGATAATTAAAACTAATTTTCAATCCCGCGCAAATCGCCCGCGGAATTACTCGAATTAAACTTGTAGGCGGCTTTGGCTTAATACTATTACATATTTTCCAACCGCAAGGGCAAAGATTCTTAAAGGATATATAATATAAACGATATAAAAATAATAGTAATTTTTTTTTAAGAAGAAAAGGTATGTTTTGTTAGTACTTTTTAACGTAATCATGGAAGAATTGACAGAAACTTTATAAATTGCATGGCTCAATTAACTCTTTGATAAACAAATAAGCAGAATACATATATACAAACAAGTAATCAAATATTAACTTGTGTTTACCACATTATTAAATAATGTGGATTTAACACAAAAATTTAAAACTAAAAATATAAACATACAGTTCATGCATGTATTGTACATATATGAGTACTCGTTAAATTGAAATTTTATAAATTATGTTAAAAAATATTTCATTTAGTAAGCCGTTTAGTACATCGTTGTAAATGAATTCATATATGTGAATTGAATAATTCATAGATTGTAATTGTTCTGATTGGTATTAATAGAAGAAACATTGAAAAAAATATGTGTACGTTGTGATTCTTATTGATAGCTATACTTTTAAAACAACGAAATTAAAAATTTTCTTGAAATTACAAATTTTCGTAGAACAATTCTTTTCTGTGCGTATATATACCTATTATATGTAAGAAAATATGCAAAGCAGAATTTATATTAGAAACAAATGAAAACGTTTTGAGAACTACACCGAGAAGCAATACTGCATTATAGTCGTGTTATCATCCTAAAAGAAAATGGACTAGAAAAAGATGTAATTCTATCCGGATGGGATTAGTTTTGCCTAGCAAATTTGCCCTAAGACGTAATAAAGAAATTCCGTAGCAATGGGATGAAGACTATAATATATTATATTTGTAATGTAATATAAGGTTAAGTATATTTTTCACTACGCACTGACGTAATTAGTAATAAAGATTTCTTTAAAGGTCCATCGAGCAATTAAGTATTGTTTGAAATTTGGTTAGAAGTTTGTATTTTGAGTATGAATATCTTTGTAAGGAATTTTATTTATATATTGAGAAAATTTAACATGTCAATTTTATATTTTCTGCGTGTTTCAAGTCATTCTGAATCGTTTTAGAACAAACGTGGAAAAAGTATGTATGTGCATTTATATAAAACTATTTTTATTTTGAATTTTTGTCGGCGTGTGCTCAAAAGCGTCTGCAACAATTTTAAGCATTTGAAAGCTATTGAATGAACTGAATAATATCTCACGTCGATTATTTTCGCACGAATATCGGTCAAGCCGTTTCTTTGAAGAACAAAAAATTGATTTTTAAAGAAATGAAGATATTGGCGTGCATTAGATTTTGGTAAAGATCGGCATGGCAGCTTTTTCGTATCTATTCGTTGAAATTTATTTTCAACTATTTGTCAACGACATAGATATCAAAGTAAGAAGTAAATAAATAAATGCATGTTATGTTATAATAAATAGATACAATCCTGCGTAAATACGAGATTCGTGATAAATGTGCAATGTTCTTCCTATTCTGGTATAAGATATTATATTAAATGTTCAGCAAAGTTTCGCGCTTTTCAAAGATGCTGAATATCGATACGAACTGATCGAGACGAATATTTATACATATTATTAGCAAGATTCTGTAACTTGTCATATAGCAAATGTCACTTATACCTAGTTTATCCTGATTTTGTCCATTCAATGAGCAGATAGGATGACATTTAAAAAACGTGTATTGTATCTTGTGAATATGATTGGACTGATTGTTAATATAATTAATTTATAAATGAAACAATTATTGCAATTGCCGCCTCATAAATATTCTATATTTATTTTTTATGTATGAATTAAAATAATTACTAAAATTATTGCAGTTGATGCCTCATAAAATATATGCAAAAATAATATATAACGAAACAAATATATGTGCTATTTGTTTATAAGATTTATGTAATTATTCAGTTATAAATTATATATTTATGCTTGAAGATTAAAGCAGAAGATTTATGTGCATTATGATGTAACTACCATCACAGAACGCTAAATATCCGTATATACTTATACATTTTACATTGAATTTTATTTCCGAAATTCCTTCACGATTTTAATAAAATTCATACCATGTATTTGTAACAAAAAGCCAATATATTTCTAATATTCAAAAATAATAAAACATGCACTGACCTGAGGATAATCGCCGTCCTTTGTCTGATAGTCAAATACGTAAAAATATGCTTTCATACCGCCGTCTTCTTCACCATTTTGATCTTTTAAAGTTTCAGAACCGGATTTTGTGCCTGAAATAATTGATAATTGATAAATAATAGATTGAAACATATGATTTTAATTATAGGTTTTTAGATAATATAGAATTACCAGAATTAGATGAGCCTGTATGAGCCCTGGAGGAAATCATAAGGTCTGCGGTTTGCACCAAAGGTGCAACAAATTGTGCATCACTTAAAGCTGCTACTGTTGCATCTCGAGTGTTTATTGGATGCTGAACCTAATAAAAAAATATTATTATTACCAATATTATTAATAATAAAGAATTTTATAATTAATCTTTCCATGTGAAAAATATGCAAATCATCAACTACTGGTAGCAATAGTAACTTCTAGACAATGTGATGAAGGCTTTACAATGTTTGAATCTAGTAAACTATACATTTTTATTTTATTTATTTATTTCTAACACGTGTATTAACATTAAACAGAAAATTTCGTGAATTTAATAAGATATGTTTAATAAGTTTTGTTTATACTTCTATCAATTGATTGTTATTTGAGAAGTACCTGTGTGTGTGTATATATGAGAAGTATATGTGTGTTTATGAATGCAAGTGTGTGAGTGAATAAATTGAATCCAATAACTAATAGGATGTCGTATTATGATTGCTGTTAAAAATGAAAATAATCATAATAAATTATTATTATCGACTTAAAAAAATCTTAAATTAGTATTGACTGTGTTGTCAAATCATTGTCAAAACTCATTATATGAATTGAGCGTCAAAAGACCATAGTCGATGCCGAACTAAAAAATAATTCAAGAAATCCATATTTAAGACAAAATAATATTACATTGACATAGAAAATAACAAAAACAATGTACACAATAATAATTTTTTTATTTGTAATATTTTTTACTTACAGTTCGTTCCCAATCTGTGTATTCATTTGCGACGGTGTAGAAAATTTCGGAGAGATGCCTTGTGTAGGCGTTTCTGACATAGGTGCGCAAAATTCTGTCACGTCTGTTGCCTTCAAAACCCGACTGGACGTCAGAAGCCGAAAATCTCATGAGGGATTCTGAGGTTACCACGCCAAACAATAGGTCATATCTGAGAGAAAAATAGATAAATCTTAGAGAAATTGGGCCCATAAAGTAAAATAAAGAATAGATGAAATCGAGAATAGTTAAGAATATTTCCAGTTTTATATTTCCTAATATTTGATGGTATAGTTATTACTACATCAGTATTATTATTAAGTCATTTATCTACTCACTTATTTTGTCCATGTGGAACTGGTCCCAGTCTATCCTGGCCCTTATTAGACCCATCAGCGCCAAGACCAGAACCACCTGCAGATCTGAGTTGTCCTGCCCAATCAGATGCACCATTATAGTCTAAACCTGATGCACCACCGCCTTGACCAGCAAAACCAGATGGCCTTCTTAGGAGATCTCTGCATTTAGAAATAATAAAAAGATGCAGTAAACTTTTAGTAAAACATATTCACAATTTTTGCGTTCTCAAATGCGCTTACAATATATGACAATCAAATCTCTGATAAGCAGATAATGTAAATTGACTGAACGCAATTGTTAATTATTATGTATTATTCAACTGTTAAGCGTTTATGTATATTTGACTATGAATTTATAATTAATACTATAATAATACCCGTCATTTAGATATCTAAAATCAAAGAATTATTAATATAAAATAACGAGAATATTAGTGAGCTTGTCAAGTATTTATACTATTATCACTAAACCTAGAAAAGTTAAAATTGTATTACAAAATAATAGTTTATTTTACATTAATAAATTGTTAGAAAAGCAAATTGAAGAAAAAGTTCACTTAATATTAATAATACTATTACGTTTACTTATTTTATAAATTATTTACTCCTGAATGCTTCTAACATAATTTTTTCAAATATATTTAACATTATTGTTGTACGAAAAGTGTTTTCAATAGATATTAAAAAAATAGTCATTTTTAACAGTAGGTTCATTTCAAGTAGCATTTCATTCGTTACACTTATGAATTTTTATTACCTTGCAAAATCACTTCTTATTACAACACCATCAACAGATGGTCCAAAAGCACTCAAATATTTTGGTGGTTCCACTTGGGCAGCTAGTAAGGACGCCAATGGAACCTCTCGCAAACAATCGACAATAGTTTCATGTTCCCTTGACATATCAGTAGGCGGAGTGCAGTTTACTTGTCTGAAAATGGATTGAAATATTCATTTTATTATAATCCAATTAAGTTTTTATAGTTAAAGTAAAAAATACTTTTTTTAGTTTATGAGTTGATGATCACGAAATTTTTATTTTATTATAATCCAAACAAGTTTTGTTAGTTAATATAAAAAATATTTTTTTTAGTTTATCAATTGGCAATTTGGCAACAGAGTATATTGGCGTGTGTGCGTATACAACATACATAATTTAGGCAGTTAATTTTTATCAACATTGAGAATAAATAAAACTCCAGAATTTTAGAGTTAGGAAGGCCATTTAGTACGAGGAGTTGATAGCGAGATCGGACCACCATCCTAAATATACCTGACGTCATGAAACCTTATCGAATCATTTGATATTTTTCGAAAAGTTTTTATATTATATTCAATTAGTTTATATACTGCTTACGTGTATCTTTGCATTTCTTCATTTTTTTCATTATTAAAATGAAATAGAAGCCTCATAGTCCACACTGGGTTTTCAAAAATGGTGAAATAACTTTAGATCCAAAGCAGATTTTTTTACGGCCATTTAACGACAGTGGTAAATTATGTTGCACTTACATTTACTTTTTTATTCCAGTTTAAAAAACATAATTTTAAGAAAAAAACTCATATCATATCCTTCCCGTATTTCAGTTTGCACCAATTTGTGAGGTGGTCCGTTTTGGATACTAACATCTCATTTGTGGGTACATAATAATTATTCTACATAATGACATGTATTATTATATTGTATATGAGAACGATTGCGTAATATTTGTTGTTCATGTGATTGTCATATCGAAGGTATTGCTTGCTTGACCGCTAAACCACAAAGAGGTCGGTTAAGGTACCTGTGCCCGTATTTATATTTGGAATTTACCCCTCTCCAAGTACTAAGGTCTTTAATAGTGAGATATCTGATAAGCCCGACAACCTACATTGATAGTGCGAGAGTTGATGTCCCCACAAATTCAAAAACTAATTATGCATATAACTTCTTTAACCGTTTTTTCAGAAGTTTTATAAATATGCACAATTGTTACCTACTAAAATTCAAATACCGTGCTAACATTAATATAGAGTCTTTATTTATATTATTCTCCTTTTTATATAAGGTCATATTTCCTCTCGGCGAAACTAATCGAAAAACTTAATATTGATTACAAAATCGAAAAGTATGTTTTGAATATTCAAATATTGACTTATTATTTTTACTGATGTATTATACAACGACTTTTTTAGCGTATAAAGCCATTAACCATTAACTATTCTAACACAACCAAACATTTTTAATTTCCAAAACAAACCGAAACAAAAAACTATTATTTAATAAAAAGAATGCGCGTAAGGATCACACGCGATTGAAGTAAAACTTTTAATATTGTATGAGTAGGCAATTAAGATAAAAATAAAAAAAACATCATATTTGAATTTTAAAAATCATCTTTTAATAATCATATAACATCAATAATAATAAGATGTCCTGAGCATCGGCACAGCTGTCCTACTGATATTAAGAGTTTGAATATGATGTGAAGCTTTCTTCCTAATTTTGTTACCTATCTTACCGGGAAATTCAAACCATAAACGTAGAAGTTCATCATTATCGCCACGTTCTATGTACACTAATTTTCCCACACAACCATTAGCTAAGCCATCACTTACATCAATATTAGTTGTTATTATGTAAAATTTATTCAGAACTAAAATTATTTCATACGGCAAAGCCCCGGTATCAATAACCGATTTTTTTGAAACTGCTGACGAATGTATGATTGTTGATCTGTCGCATGGCAACCTACATAAATATCCGTGGCAGTAGATATTATTTTGTCTTCAACGAGATTCAGTATAAATTTATTATATTCCATGACACAATTATTCTCTAAGAAAAGTCTTATTCCATGAGGACATAATACAGCAACCTCTTCTTTTGTAAAAAAAACGTGATTCAATTAATGCAAGTTCATATAGGGTTTAGCGCTCGACTTACGCATGACATGACGGGAGTGGATACTCGCGACATCAGCGCTTACGGCGTCGTAGTGTTCAACTACACGTTGGCATTTTCGTTGCATTTGTACGGATTTACACCCGTGTCGCGCCTAAAAATTTTTACACCCATATCGCGCCTAAAGAAGTTTTACTTCAATAATGTAAGTCGTTGATATAACTTGCAATAGTTCTGATTTTGTAACAAAAATTAAAATGTTAAAAATATTCAAAATTCAAATATCTACAAGATCAAATATAAGAAATCATCATGAATTTTCAAAATATTATAAAATTGCTAAATTTTGAAAATATCAAGTAGGTTTATAAGATGATTCAATCTTAAAAATCAAAGAAAGTTAAATTTGAAAACATTTAGTTTTTTTTTTTTTAGGATTCAGGTTAATTTATTAATTGCTATACTATGGTAATATTTGATTTTTGATCAAATATTCAAATCAAATTATAGATGTAGTATGAATTTGTATATTTTATACAAATTAAGTTCCTTTATCGATTATTTAATAATGTACCATATCAGCTTATTAATTGTCGACGAAATAAAAAACTATTATTCAATAATAACGTAATAATAAGTTGTTGACATAAGTTGCAATAGCTCTGATTTTGTAAAAAAATAAAATGTTGAAAACATTCAAAATTCAAATATCTACAAGATCAAATATCAGAAATTATGATGATTTTTCAAAATATAATATTGCTAAATTTCGAAAATATGACGTAGGTTTAAAATATGATACAACTTTAAAAAACCAAAAAATTAAATTGAATTATGTATAAGTGTCCTAATGTTCTGCAAAAATATTTATTGATCTTTTTTAAAGTGTGAAAACATTTTGTAACATTTTTATAATTTACATTAATTTATTAATTGCAATACTATGGTTATATTTGGTTTTTGATCATATATGAATAATAATCAAGAATTTCCAAAACTTTATAACATTGAACTTAGCAAATATCAAGTAGGAAATATATATTTTTAAATAATATAATTTTCAAAAAAATCGAATAGAGTTAAGAGTTTAATCGTTAGAGTTTAATTGAAATATATGTAATTTATATTCTGTAAAGATATTAATTTGTAAAATTATTTTGATACGTGACAGCAAACAGTTTGTAAGAATATTAGATTTTAATAAGTAAATAATTAATTTATTAATTCCAGTACTTGTTAATATTTGATCTATTATATACTTGTTCAATTCATTACTAATCAACGCAGGTCAATATTTACCCTTTTTTATTTGTACTTACTCCAAGGGTCAATTTCCAAGAAGTTGATTCGATTTATAATTTCATAAAAAATAACATGGATTTTGTATATAAATTTAGATAATATAACATAATGTCTTATAATCCTCGTATTAATAGAAGTACAGGTAACCCGCGTACAACACGGTAGTTACGTTCCAGAAAACTAGCGTGTTAAGCGAATCTGTGTTATAAGGGACAAAAAACTAGTACAAAAAGAGGGATTACGTTCCAAGAATTTAAAAAAACATGCTACATATCATGATTTTATAATGAATATTGTTACATTTATTTATTTTTCAAGAAGTAATATACATTACTAGAATTATATGATTTTTTTTCGTCATAATTAACAAGTAAGTGCTATCCAACATGATTCATTTTTTGCAAGACATCCTCATCATTTGAGCACTTTTTATACTATCTCCAGATCCATGCATTATTTGTTGCAAACAAATTATATTTGCTATTACTTGCTTTTAGCAAAATTATATTCCTGTATCTGACACATGTAAAGTATCTTTATTAAACTTTTATTGCTTAAGAATTATTTAATATATTGTTCGGATAATCTTAGAATTTCTTTTCGATAAAACGTACGCGCTCTAATAATATATATCAAATTAGATGTCTTTTGCACTAGTTTCATCACATTTTTTGAGCTATTGTACGACGATTTTACTCATTTTAGATTAAATAAAGTTTGCTTTTGATAGGATTTACTATGATTTTCATACTATTTTACGGTTTTACTATTTGTTATTTTATTAAAACTTTCCTCAATTCTTAAACCATGTCATGCAAACTTGAAAGTACCGTGTTATGAAGGGGATGGTCTCAATTCTTAAACCGTGTTAGAGCAAATCCGTTAGACTATACCGTGTTGTGCGGGAGTTACCTGTAATTAACAATTAGATTTTTATTAATTAATTTTCATTTACCTGGCAAGTTTGAGTGCGTATTCAACCGGTCGCTGAACCAAAGCCCATGCTCCAAGGGCGGAGCCACTCATCAGGACAGCTCGGTGGAATAATCCTGGCACCACCGCAGGCGAAGCCATTAGAAAATGAATACAGGCCGCGCCGGTTCCTTTTAAATTGAATGAATGCGAAAAATGAATTCATTTTCTGGTTTCGTTTGGAAGCATGTTAATGAAGATTTTTTTCAACATATTTTTTAATGTTTTTATATGCATTAAACTCGAATGAAAAGTAATTAAATCCAACGAGAAGGGTTTCGAGAATGAAAAACGTATGTAGTTCTTGATATGGTTGTCGACTTTGATGCTTTTTGATGCATGATCATAATAAAGTTGTGATAAAAATCAGAACCAGTAATTAGATTTTTTTAAAATTATGCTTTACTTATTGTAAAATTTGTAATACCAAAAGTTATATATTACTAAAAATTTAGATAAAAATGGCATTGGCTGTTAAGCTACAAAACTTAACGATCTATTGATAATTTTGATTTTCTTGTATTATGTTGTTAGGTTTATATTCTTTGAATATTATGTCTTATTCTATCTTTCTATGTTGTTTTTTTATATATTGCTTGTGATTTCTTATTAGTATTATAAATTGTTGTTTTAACTCTATTAACACGTTAATCGTCACAATAAAATTAGAAAATTTTTCACATGGGCCATAGTAAATTTAATAGATGATTTAGTTGAAAATGTATCAAGAAAACCTGATGCATCAAAAAAAAATTTAGCCACTATTCCTGGAAAAACACTATTTTTATGTCACACATATATAACTGACATGGCCGCATAAAAAAGCTATTTTTCTAAGGCAATTTTTTTAGTCAATTATAAGACATGTATGTTTTACATGACCTATTTAAAACTTATTAGCATCAGGTTTTATTTTATTTTAATAAGTATTTTTTTTACTTTTATTGATTTTAGATATAAGATTTATCCACTACTAAAAATTTATCTAATTTTTTTTGTATCATGCATTAAAATGGTAGTGTAAAATTTATCCGAAATATGAAAAAACTGGTTGAATTAATTTGAATCGTTTATTTTTCATGCTTAATTTGATTTGGATCTCAATTAACTTGTTCTATAATGGTAAACAAACAGCATAAAAATTACATCAAAAAATAAAACTGATGATATTAGATGAAACTAATAAAGAACTCACACAGTTCTATAATTGAAACACACAAATATATGGATTTTTTCATTATGCTAACAGATCGAACACATTATCTAATAAAGATATTTAATATCTTTAGTTAAATTGTAGTAAATATTTATGTAAATATTTTTATTACTTGTGACTAGTATTTTAGTAGTGTAGTAGTAGTGTTTTACTAGGCATTAACTCTAATTGTTAGTAAAAAATAGATTAGTAGTATAAGTAGTATTTAGTAGATAAGTTTATTACTGATTTTAGTATTATTATTTATGTCATGGATAAGTATATATTTTTTAACATTAGAACAACAAACTCTAAGTAACATTTTTCAACACATTATAATGAATATGTGAACTCCTATTTTTTGTATTTTACACCGAATAGACCAATATGTGGATTAGGGTTTGTCCGGTTTTAAAAACCGGTTTTTTGACGAAATAATGGAATTCAAAACCGGTTTTTAGTAAAAAAAGTCGGTTTTTGCTGTATAAATGGAAAATGACAAATATAGCCAAATGTAAAAGATAGATGAAAGCGTTTTGATTCTTGAAAACATATCGTTTCAATAGTATTTGATATCTTATCAGTGTTCAATCTTTCCCAGAAAGGATTTTTCTATTTCAGGACATTTTGTGAGTAAACAAAGGACACGTCTAAGTTTTTTAAAATCATTTTTTATTAAACAAAAAAAAACAGTTTGATTTTAGCTTAATTGTTTTTAAAACTAAAATTGATATTAACTTAAAATTAATTTTTTTTATTCAAGAATGTATCATTTTTATTTATTCGAAAACTTTCCTTTCACTATCATAGGAATATTTTTCATTCTTATATATGAAAATGATGCATGAATAACGAATAATTATTTTCATAGTTATTTAACCAAAATAAACTATTATTTTTTATTTCTATTAATTAAAATTAAAATAATTTTGTTAACTATCTATAAAATTGAACAGTAAATAAATTCCATCAAATACTGCTTTAAATTACACTAAATTTGCGAATAAATTACAAAATATTCGAGTCAAAATTTATTTTCTATTTAAAATTCGAAAACCGGTTAAAACCAGTTTTTTTAGTAAAATTAAAATTCGAAAATCGGTTTTCTAAAATGTCGGTTTTTGTATAAACCCTAATGTGGATCACAATAGATAAATTAAAAAAATCATGTTTTTTACTGATATTGCGTCCAACCTCAATTTTTATTGTATATATGTGTACATAATTTGTATAGTATATTATTAATTAGATGTATAATTTATTTGCAAATACTAGTGAAATATAATAACTTACCATGTCCCATAAGGGTAACGGACTCCGGATCTCCCCCAAATAACGCAACATTTTGTTGTATCCAATGCAAGGCAGCAATTTGGTCCATCAGACCGTAATTGGCAACACGAGCTCGGCGTCCGGGCGAAGGATTCGCATTCAAGAAACCTGATGATCAACCATACAAAATATAAGAAACGTTGAAGATAATGGTATAATAATAATTTAGAAACAAAAACAGTTTTCCTAGATTATAATACTTAGTTGAAAACACAGAAATTTGAGAATAAACCGTTTCCAAAACAAATTATAAATTATATATTAGAGGTACCAAACGAAAACATTTTCAAATTATTTCGGAAGCAGTCTGATGATAATTAATCTTTTAAATTTATTTATATATATACATTATAAACATAATAATATTATATACACATATTTATATTTTAAATAAAAATTCATAAGAATTTTGATTTTATTGTCTTCCTACCAGATTAAATATAGTACTAGAAAAAATAATTTGTAAGGATGAGTAATTTCATGGACAGCTAATGAGTTCAATGCTTTACATACAGGTTTTAATTATAAGTCCGGTCAATTTAGACCTAATCAGGGTAAAAATTACAAAAAAATATAATGGGGTAAAATTGCGTAAAATACAATTATAAAAGAAATCTTTAAAGTGCTCATCGTTCCGTTGCGAGGTAAAAAATTTGCACAAGGTCAAAGGTAAGAAAAATACATTTTTCGCGATTTTCAGCTAAATGGTCAATATGAATTCTTGTAACCATGAAAGCTAAAATTGACTAGACTATATATGATATGACATATAAAACAATAAATATAATGATGGCGTAAAAGTAATTTTTAAAATGTGAATGATAATGAATATTAAATAAGAGTTTGATAGATTTGCTAATATTTTTTATTCTTTAACGATTTGAAGATTGATTGGTATTTTTATTGAAAGTTATACTTGTGCTATCATGCCATTCCAAGCAACCATTCCGTATAATGCTTGAAATGTATAATTACATATAAAACGAACTAATACTAATGTAAGACTAAAAAATGTGTATTTAAAATATAATATACTCTAAGTTTGATTAAAAAAAACGATACATTCAGAACCAGATTTTGATGTATTGTACCTAAATAAAATTTATAATCACATGTTTCTGAATTAAAAGCCTCAGTTTCTCGTTTATATATAATATAATATTATTTATATATTATATGCGTTTTGGAGACATTGAATGATTGAAATTAATATAATTAAATCTTTATTAAAAAATTAAATTATACTTTCACTAATTAGATATTTGATTATTAATATACACACCTAAAGAACAAAATTTTATTAATTATAATTTTTAGGAAATGTATAATTTAATTATAAACGTTTATTTCATTTTAATCTCTCAATGTTACTGAAAAATCCAATGAATAAATGATAACAGAAAAAATTTACTGAAAGTTATTTTTGAAAAGAATAGTTCAATAAAATCATAAGTAATACTTACTATCCAGAAAAACAATTAACAAATTTACATATAAATAAACTAAAATAAATACAGTTACATTCAAAATAACGAACAAGGCTTCAAAAATATATATTTTTAAAAAAAAGCAAAAAAAAAACTTTTTATTCTGAAATAAATGCAGAATTTAATAAATTACAGCATGCTACCTTTGATGTATGGAGTATATTTCAATATATTGATATTTTCTAGTATATATAGCTTCACAAGAATGATATCCGTTCAAATGAATTACTGTTTCTTTATGAAATATTACATACGAGTGCAAAATAAATGAAATGCCAAAATGTATTTGAAACTTATTGACAAAAATTTAATTTTAAAAATCCATTTATATTGAAGATTTTTAAATTAATGAATTATTCCTAATTGCATGCTTCATTCTTTATTAATTGGGAATATAGTGGTAATAGAAACACAATGAAAATAGTAATAACTCAGGTAATGAAATAAGGGTAATTAGTCATGTTTTATATACAGACTAGACATATTTCCAAATTGCTTTTGCGATCTGAGATTAAGCTTTGTTCTCTATTTATGTATTTCGTGTTTCTTTAACAATAAGTGATTTTCTACTCAACAATAAAATTATCTAATAAAACTAATGCCAAGCTATCGAGATTGTTAATTGTTAAATACATTACGAACATTAGAATATTCCAAAACAGATATAAATTCTTAAGTAACTATTTTATTCTGAATGGAATATATTTCCAGGAAATTGTAACCTAAAAATAAATGATACTAATTACCTAAAATCCCAAGTCGGTAGTTCAATGTAACCACTACTAAATCAGCGTAAGCGGCCAAGACAGATCCGTCATATGGATTACCGCTATTCCACTCGTACGATTCCCCATGGATAAAAACCAGAACTGGATATTTGTGAGCTCCAGTTGGTTCTGAAAAGAAGGAAAACCATCACATTATTTTATGGAATAACGATATCTTTCACATACGGTCTATAAAGATTAGTTAAAAATATTACAAATGATATCTTATTGGGTTCGTTAGTATTTTGTCTACTTATGCTATATTTGATATAAAACAATAGTAAAGATTTGAACCAACTAAATTATGTTGATATATAACTCATTAAAATAACTAAAAATAACAGATAATTTGGATATCGTCACAGAAATATATATGACGCAGTATTGATACTCAGGGGGCTTCCATTAGTCACGTGAGCTTTAAAGGCGCAGAGGGGTTTGATAAAAAATTATGAAATATTATATGAAAGAGTAAACGATCTAGAAAGATATCACCTGTATTTATTTTATACTTTAATTTAAAAATAAATCTAAAAAAAACTAAAATTTTACAATTTTTACAATTTTACAATTTAGGCACACGTGATGTTAAATGAGGGAGGGGGGTGAATTTTAAGTATCACCATGATGATTTAACATTTTGTAATACACATATTTATGTATAATAAGTTTTCTTCACAAAGAAATCTAGACCTCACATTACCACAACCTCCAAATTTTTTGTCTGAAACGATTCAGAATGACTTGAAACGTTGCGAAACTATAAAATACAAGTAAAATTTTTTTACAGAAACAGGATCTCTCCTTCGGTTTAAATTAAAGTTAAAAGTTACAGTTAAAGTTGAAAAAGTTGAAAATTGCAGGTTGTTCTAAGAGGTGAGGTTAAGGCGTTAAGATCAACCCTTTTATATTGGACTCCACAGAAAGGTGCCTCTAAGCCTTTTTTCACTAAAATATTAATAATATCGTATACCATATTTTAATAATACGGTTAAATATATTATTAATACGATATTCAATAATATGGCTTATTTATGTTAAATATATCAATATTAGGGTAAGCCAAGCTTGTTATTAATTGTTACATACCGAATTGTAAATTGTAACTAATAGAATCTAATATTCAACAATAGTGTAAACTAATTGGCAAATAACTAAAAATATAATTGAAAAACAGCGCAAACAAAATATCTAGACTACATTTCTAAAATATATTTCAAATGGCTTAAAATATATTTAGATATGATACCAAGTTTTCTTTATTAAATAACTTTAAATAAGTTTGCTAATATATTTTGATTCATATATACACCATATATGAAAATGGAATACTTCATGGTAGACATATTAAGTGTAAAATTTAACTAAAAAAAAGAGTGCGCGTAAGGTTCACACGCGATTGAAGTAAAACGTATTTGCTACTGTACAAGATGGCATTTAAGTAAAAATAAATACATTATATAACAATTTTGAATAATGTTTATTAGTAATATGGTAACACTCGTGATGCGCGCATCTATTAGTGTCAACAATTATACACATTTATAATATGATATTTGTAATAGTATTAAAAAGTTACATGGTTCTTACAATGTTTATTTTATAAATTTATCAAAAAAAAGCATGACGAACAGACATAAAGACGAACTTGTTGGTTGAGTTCTGGGACAACCCTGCACATATATATTGGTAAATACTTTTATATAGGTAAAAAAATATAAATTGTCATTTTAAGCAAAATTTATTTTTGTTTTCTTAGTTCAATAATACCTATTTTGAATTTAAATTATTTAATCAACTGCAAAACTTGTACTCGTGGCTGCAAAAATTTAATGTTGAGGTATGTCACGTACTTATTTTATTTGCCATGAATAAAATAATATTTAAAGTGTTGTTATAAGGATAAAAATACTTTTTATACAGTACCCATATCAAAATTCTGCTAACGATTATCATATAACATGTATTTCTTATAAGATACCTACATCATATTCTCGCATGCCTAAACCTTAAATTCTATGCTGTACGCTTTTTAACTAACTATATAGTACGCCTAATAAGCCTAATACGCCTAATACGCCTACAACCCTATATACATAATACGCCCAATATTATTTCTTATCTTACACCTATAAGGTTTCTTAAACGCTAATTTTTCCGAACCCTACCGAGAATCGAACCCGAGCCCTCTACGTGACAGTCAGCGATCTTAACCACTACACCACCGTGGCGCTGCGATTGGTCGCCTTTTTCCACGTGTCGTCGCGTCACCTTAGTATTAATTACTTAATTAAAAGTAAAGGTACCGCGGAAGAACAATGCGTCCCTTAATATATTATTTGTGGGGGACCCAATAGAGTAGTGGTCAAGGCGCTCGACTGCCACGCGGTGGTCCCGGGTTCAATTCCCGGTGTGGGCGATAGACAATAGAGTATAGGGTAGCGTCAAAAGATAATAGATGAAAGTAAAATATAGCGTGTAAACGTTAGAATGTAAGATTAGTAAATTATATATACTAGATTAATAGCAAATATTGATAAAGCGGTCATAGATTTATATATGAATGTAGGAACTGATGGTCTTAGGTATCGTACGGTATGATTAGATAGGTAATAATTAGATTTAAGTCCTCTAACGTATTGTAATAGATCTTGGGTACTTTTATATAAAAAAGAGTGCGCGTAAGGTTCATATGCAATTGAAGTAAAACTTATTTGCTACTGTACAAAGTGGCATTTAATATCAATGTTGAATAATGTTTCTTAGTAATATGGTAACACTCGTGATGCATATATGTATCAGTGTCAACCATTATACACATTTATATTTATAATGCGTATAAGTATGGTTTTATACGTCAAATATTACATGATCGGTTTGTCATTATAATTAGCATTTAGAAATAAACCTTCATTAGAGAAATTGAAGTAAATGATTAATGACTTTTATAATATTTGTTCACACAGTAGATTATGTTAAACAACGCTTAAACAAATATTGTTTTCACAATTGCTCTCATCACCATATAATATTTGTGTTTGAAGAACTTAATGTAATTAAAATTAATATACGTTCATTGACTATTTGTATTTTTTGTACTTTTATTTTAAAATGTTTATTTATCTATCTATGTCAACATAGTTATAATCAACAAAATAAACGCAAACAGTCCAACATCGTATAACATGTTTCCAGTGATTTTTTCATAGTTTCGCAAAGTATTTATCTCTTTGTACCTTATTAACCCATAGGTCAAATATTTGTCAGCTCGTGCGCCAGATCCCTCAAAACTTGGAAATAAAACGGTAAAGCAAAAGGCATCAACATAGCCTGCCGACTTCAGAGCGTCTAAGTGCATTGTACTATCGACAAAAGTTTTCTTCGTTGAAAAACTTCTCCGACATCTTGTTCCTCGAAAACCGAACACGAAATTAAAACTTCTCAGCGTTATACGCGCTTTGAGTAGTATTCCAGAAACACGTGTTCCGTACTCTGCCTTTTATTTCCAAACAATTCTGAGGATATTGTATGACGTTATTTGAAAACGATTGGAAATAATTCATAAATACCACAGAGAATCGTTATTGGTAATAGAATAAAAACTAGCCTCTTTGGATCTTGTCATAATAAAATTGAATGATGATATGTTTTGTGTATGTGAATTTTATTCTTACTGCGACTCAGATATATTCTTGCAAAAATAAAGTGAATATCTCAGTCAACAAATATAAATTACATTTTTGATTAAGTACATAAATACGTTTAATCATAAATTCATAAATTTATAGATTGTACATCATCGTGGTTCGTACTAACGTAATCAATAATAATTAAAAAAATTATAACCTCCACAATATTTAACTTTATTATTGAAATCGACACAAAATAAATTATGACAAATAATAATTAATTTATAGCCAATAACGATTAATTACACCAGCTTTATATTAACTATATATTTCACATATTTTGCAAACTTTCAGCAATGTTTTAAAAAGCTGGCACCTAATTTATGTAAATAGTTTCATCAGACAGAACTATAAATCAAATCCAATTTCCATTTAGTAAACGAACGCGTATGTTTTGTACACATTACATATAAAAGTGTATTTATATTTTGCCCAAAATATTGAGCTTATTGACACCCAATAAATAAAGATTAGTTTATCAGTAGAACGCTAACAATTTTATATGCATTGCATTGAAAATGCCAGCTAAAATAAATTGGGAAAGTGTTGGTGTATTTTGTTTCATTCGAGAGAAATAGAATTAATGGAAAATTTCAATTCCTAAAATATTTTTTGTAGCAATATCAAAGACATAGGAATAATACGAATAATTCGTTGATAAACAAGTTAACACTATATAATTTATAGTGCAAGTTTTGTGAAAAAATATAATATAAAAAATACTTCTTGAATATAATAAATTCGTATCAAGCTGTAATAATTCCTGCATATGTAATTGTATCAGGATTTTTTGTAATGTAAATAAATATATTTGTTACTTAATTGTCAATGTATATGTTTGTGATATTTAGTAATATTTCTTATACTTATTTGTTGAATTCAGTCAACAAAACCGAAATGCACTTTATTCATCCAATAAAAATTTTATTCATCCAATTAAAAGGAGTAGGTACCTAGTAGGTACTATTTATCAATATTTATTCAGTTTAGTTCTATATTTTAATAAATTAATTTGTATTATGGGCAGTTATATGAATAAAAAATATTTCAATTTATCACATGTAGGTATATAATCTACTGTAATATCAATTACTGTGATAGAAATGAATATTAACAACATTGGTTCCACATATAGGTACTTAAAAAAACACATCAAACACTTCGGCTTAATTGCTTTTTGATTATAATACCCCTCTTTTGTCTTCCTAAATATGTTCAAAGTTTATATTGAAATACGCATGTTTATATAATATTATGTCTCCATATCCTTTGGCTTTGCACATTTATGCTATCGATAAATATTATGTCTACATAATATAACGCTTCATGTTTATAGAATTTATATCGGAATATATAAAGAACGAACACTAACTTTTAGGTGCAATATATACTCAGCAAGCGACATCAATAGAAAGTTTATTCTCAACTTTATAGACAACA